TGGCCTGCTTGTTGTTGCTCATGTGGATGATGCCTGTGGAGGCCAGGTGGGGTTCAGGAGGGAATCCAGGGGTCTCCGGTGGGTGGGATAGTGGGCGGGAGGCTTGTCCTGCAGGATGAGGTGAGGTGAGACAGGGGGCAGGGCATCTACAGCCAGAAACCCATCAGCCACAATGCTTTCTCTGTCCTTTGTGTGCGGGGGGTGGTGGTTTCCAGCTGTAGATGCAACCTGCCTGCCCCTCAGCTGGTGCACGCTGCAGCTCTGGACCCCGCTGCCATCATCAGGCTGGCTGTCCAAGCAAGTGGAGGCAGCAAGTGGAGGCGGGGGGAGGAACATGATGCGGAACGCTGGATGCGCTTACTCAGTCCCACTGTCTTTTTTGGCTTGGGTTAGAGAGCAGGTCACTGCTGGTCATCTTTTCCTTGGCTCCCTTGTGGATCTTGACATTGGCCTGTACGTGGAGCATGTTCCCCTCATGCACCTGACCTCAGTGGCCCACAGCAGTGCCGAGGTGCATTGGGTGCACAAGACGGGTGCTTCACCAGCAGGCTTGCCAGGAAGCGGGGGAGGGAGTGGCACTTCCCACCCACTACCAGAATCAACAGGTGGCGCCCAGCTGAGCTTCTCCAAAGCGTGGCGGGTGGAGGGGTAGGAAACGGTGCCGGCCCCAAGGCTGGAGGAAGGCCTTTGAGCCCTGGGCACCCTGTCAGACAATGCCCTGATGACTCTCCCACTTGTGTGGAGGGAAGCCCCGCTACCCCCAAGCCACCCACTCGCTTACCAGGTGCCATGGCCAAGCCGAGCCTTTCAGGAACACCGGATGAGCAGGGAATTTGGTTGCAATCCTCAGCTTGGAATGGACATGTGGTGTGTGTGTGTGTGTGTGTGTGCAAGACAGAAGGCTGCCTTCAGGCTAGAGAAGGAACTGTAGTTTTGGAGGCTCCATCTGAAGGAGTTGAGTCAGGCATTGCCCCCAAACTGTTCTGAAGCTGCTGCCTCTCAGGGGAAGGGAGGGCTCAGATCTCCCTGCTGAGCAGCCCTGGTGAAGGAAGCGCATCATCGGGGATCTCTACCCCTGGCAGCTCCTGGGTGGCAACTCTGCCGCTGTTCAGCCAGCCTGAAGGAGAAGCCACCATTAAGAAAGGCCAAGTAGAGGTGGTAAAACATGCCCAGGCCCAGCAAGCAAAAGATGGCCACCGCGAATGGGGAAAGCCGGATCTCCACTGGCACCATGGCCATCCAGGCCCAGCAAGATGGAGAAGAGGCACACAATCCGGATGGGCTTGGGCAGCCATGGCGCCAATGAGGATCCAGCTTTCCTTGCTCGCGGTGGCTGCCTTTTGGCTGCTGGAATTGGGTGTGCTTTACCACCTCTACTTGGCCTTTCTAGCTGTCCCCTTCACTTTCTTCAGGCTGAGCAGGCCTGGTGCTCTGGGCAGCGACGGCAGTGGCCTAATAGATCTGTATGAGCTGCTGGCAACCTTGCTGGTATCGTGGTGCATTGGGTGTGCGAAGGGGCCAAGGAGATGATAGCAGAGACCTGCTCTCCAAACACAAGCAAAACAGACAGGACGGAGTAGGTAAGCAGATGGTAACTGGCAGCAGCCGCCCATACTCTGCCCATGGTGGTGGCAATAGCTGGAGGCAGAAATGCAGGGGAGAGGCACGCCGTCTGGCCTGCTGGATGTGCCAGGCAGCCATCTACCCTGTGCCAGCCATATGAGATGGATGGAGCAGACACATCTGGTGGTGCATATCACGTCCCTCCCACTCCCCGACCCTGCCTGCTGCCGGTGTGGCCACCATGCCTCTTTTTTGGAGGGCCAGCTACGGAGTCCCTGCTGATGGACACCTCCCCTCCCTGGTGCACACACATCTGAAAATAAGTGTGGTCATCCTGGAAACAGTAAGGGGCCAGCCTGCATCGCTTTGGTCCTGCCCATCCCATTCAGGCGGGCACGCATTTGCACAGGAGATGGTGGGTGCATGCATGGCTTTGGCCTGGCCAATGCTATCCTGGGAGGCACACGTGCATACAGGTGGCAGGCACATGTATGCACAGACCTGGCCCACCCCATTCTGGAATCTGTACATGTGCCCACTCCTAAGTGCAAGTGTGCTTACCAGGATGGCGTTGGTTGGGCCTATGCACATATGCGCCTGCCATCTCCTGCACATATGTTCGTGTGTCGGGATAGGATGGGCCAGGCTGAAACAATACAAGCCAGCCCCTTACTGTTTCCAGGATGGCCGTTTGGTCCAGATCCGGTCACGGGCCTCGAGTTTGACACCACTGGGTTAGAGGAACAAAATAAAATATAGCATTTCCCTCTGCAGAAATAGTGTGTCATCTGAATAGCTGTCCTAAAACAAAGTATTACAAGCTCAGTAAAAAAGTGTATACTAAAAATATTAAAATGACAATATAATTCTCATGGGCTTTGGACAATATTAAGAGGACTGATTTGTGAGAATTTAAGTTACAACTGTCTCTTAAATGTTGTTTAACAATAGTTAAAGTATAAGGATCAGGCAATTTATGTATGCTATATGAGATCCTTCATAAGTATTATGTTAGAATATAGATTAATATGATTGGACAAAAATCTAATAATCATGGTAAGCTGCCACACAGATTAACTGAACTATTTACACCTGTCCCCCATATTCTGGCTACCTGCTGTCATCTTTTAATGTTGAATTGATTTCTTTCATGTATATGCTGCCTTTCTTCCAGAGATTGCAAAATAATATAGAAAGAATTGCAGGTGGTTCCAATTTCAGACAAGACTCAAACTTAAACCCACACTTCTTTAACTTCAGCTAAATTGACTGAATCTCAAAAAACACATTACTGCAAACTTGTTCAGGTAAGCTCAAGCTATGGAAAACATCCTATTTTACCACATCCAGCAAAGCACCAAGTTAAAATGGCATAGATAGGTATTTGATGATTCCAGATGTTTTAGATCACAAATCTCAGTAAGCCTATTGTCAGTAAACTATGAGTTGTAGTCTAGAATTTCTGAAGGACATTTGCCTACCAACATCTGCCATGCAAAACATCTGGTGGGATGGAAGGAGAATATTTTTCTTTCACTGCAGAAAGTAGAGAAATGCTCCTATTATTTTAATGATATTTTCCTGATGCATTTCAAAATTTGTTATTCTCAAAAGGTTATTTTTATATTTTAATTGAGAAGTATTGTATCTTCATTCCAACCTCCTCCTCAAATAAAAAGCTATTAAGTGTCTACATGCAATAACTGTAAAAACCTTCCAATGTTCCCAACATTTTCTAACATTTAATAATTTAAATAAAGAATTGACATTCTTAAAATATCATTAAAGTGGATTGTCTAAATATTTTTACACGTACATAAAAGTTATTGATTATTAATGTTAAATACAACTTTTTGACAAAGTATTAGAATATATTGGTCATACTTTGAATCTGAACAGTCAGTATCATCCAGATGCAACTCTTTTCGCATTGATCCTTCAATTTCCGCAGCTAAGGAATCCTGTTGAGACAATTTTAAATGGTGTGAGAGCACATCTCTCTCCCTCCCTCCCTCCCTTTCTGCAATGTACAAGAAGGTGGGGTAGAAGGAATCAATTTACAATTTTTGAAAAATCCTGTTATTATTTAGAAATATTTCTAGATGCTGCTACAATATCTGCACCAAAAACACACACTAGACGTAAATGAATCTAGATGTTTTCAATATTAAAATTTATAGACATTCTTGGAAAAACGTATTATGATAGAGATCTCTAACATCTATGCAGCTTTATCTTAATTCATATCTTCTTTTTGAAAAAAAAAGTATTGTCTAAAGTAATGGTAATAATTGGCCCTAGAAAAATAATTTTTTGAAAAGGAAAGTAAGTAAATTATAACAGCAAACAAAGTATCATAAAAAAGTTAATCAATGAGCCACTAGTCAAACTCTGCAATATTATTAGAAAAACCTCAAACAATTACATCAGCAGAAAAATCTTTTATGCTTGAACATAACTATTTTCTATACAATAGCTTCTGGTCATTAGGTAACTGAAACGGAATAGTTAGCTGTATTGTATTATTATTATTATGGTTCATTGCATAGTCAGCCATTTTTATTTACCAAGTCCTTCCCAAAAACCTGGAATAAGTAGATGTTGTTTGATGATGTTAAAGGTATCATCGTAGGATGTAAGCTATTCCTAGTAAAGTTGTCCTTTGCAATTACTGTTTTGAACGTCAATGTTGATGTTGTTCAATTTGTGCTCCAATTGTTTTGATATTTATCTTGCCTTATTTATTTATTTATCTATCTATCTATCTATCTATCTATCTATCTATCTATCTATCTATCTATCTATCTATCTATTATTTATTTATTTATTTATTTGATATTGCCACCTATTCGCCCATGGCGACTCGAGGTGGCTTACACAATGTAAAACCATATTTAAAACAAAAAATAAAAATAAAAAACAATAAAAACTAACAAAAATAATCAAATAAATTAGCAAAGTACAATAGAACAAAATTTGGGAAAACAAAAGACAAAACAAAACAAAAAACAAAAAAAACCCCAAAAACAAAAACCAACTCCCACCTTCCCGCTCCGACGACAGATCACACTAGCCATTTGATGGGCTCCATCCCTCTCTAAGTTCCCCAGGCCTGCTGGTAAAACCAGGTCTTCAGTGCCTTTAGGAAGAGTGCTAGAGTGGGGGCCATTCTAATCGCTGGGGGAATGATATTCCAGAGAGAAGGAGCCACCTTGGAGAAGGCTCTTCTTCTGGGTCCCACCAGGTGTATCTTCCTCTGTGGTGGGACCCGTAACATTCCCTCCCTCCTCGCTTTAATGGGGCGGGTAGATGTGACTGGCAAGAGATGTTTCCTCAGATAACCTGGACCCAAGCCATGAAGGTGACAACCAGCACCTTGAATTGCATTCAGAAGCAAATCGGCAACCAATGCAGCTCCTGCAGGAGAGGTGAAACATGTGCACACCGGGGTCTGCACAAAACCATGCGGGCCACTGCATTTTGCACCAACGGGAGCTTCCAGATGCTCTTCAAGGGCAGCCCCATGTAGAGTGTGTTGAAATAATCAAGACAGAAAGTGACCAGGGATTGAATGACTGTGAGTAGGGACCGCTGATCCTGGAAAGGGCGTAACTGGTGCACAACCCGCAGTGCACAAAGGCCCTCCTGGTCACGACCGCCACCTGCTCTTTGAACAGGAGTCATGAGACCAGGAAAACCCCTAGATTATGCACAAGGTCTGTTTGGGGTAGTGCCATCCCATCCAAGACTAAAGGTGGTGATGATTCTCCCTGAGCCAACAAACCCAAACCCAGAGCCACTCGGTCTTGCAAGGGTTTAGTTTCAACCCATTGCTCCCCATCCAGCCCCTAACAGCCTCCAGGCATTGTGAGAGGGAGGAAACAGCAATACTTAACTCACCACGGGCCGAGACATACAGCTGAGTATCATCAGCATCTTGGTGATACCACAGTCCATGGTGATGGATGATCTCACCCAGAGGCTTCATATAAATGCTGAGCAGGAGCGGAGAGTACCAAGCCCTGTGGAACCCTGTAAAGCAGTGGGCGAGGGTTGGATCTCTCCCATCCTATCAACACTGACTGAGAATGGCTGCAGAGGAAGGAAGTGAACCAAGACAGCACAAGGCCTCCCACTCCCATCCCCCAAAGCCACCCCAGGAGAATCCCATGGTCAATGGTATCGAAAGCCATTGAGAGGTCAAGTAGAGCAAGGATGGATGCACTACCCCCCCATCCCGCTCCTGCCAGAGATAATCCAAAAGTGTGACCAATGCTGTTTCTGTCCCAAATCCAGGCCTGAATCCTGACTGGTAGGGGTCGAGATAATCTGTTTCATCTAGAAACCTCTGGAGCTGCTGCGCGACCACCTTCTCAACAACCTTCCCCCAAAAGGGAAGATTGGAGACAGGTTGGAAATTATCCAACCGGGTGGAGTCCAGCAATGGTTTCTTATGAAGAGGGTGGACCACAGCCTCCTTAAAGTGCTGGGGCACCGTCCTGTAGAGAAGCATTAATTAGCGCCAGAGTCCACCTATCTGTCATCTCCTAGGAAGCTTTCACAAGCCAGGAGGGACATGGGTCTAAAATACAGGTGCTTGCGCACACTCCATAGGATCCTGTCCACTTTCTCAGGAGCAACAGGGTCAAACTGTTCCCAGATAACAGGGCAAGAACCTGCCTCAGGAGCTTCCACCGCATCAGCAACCACACTGGCATATAACCGGGAACGAAGTCAAGCGATTTTGTCTTCCAGAAAATCCGCAAATTCTTCAGTGCGCCCCTTCAGGTGGACCTCAATCTCTTCCTTCTCTAAGAGGAGACGGCTCACCTTAAAGAGAGTCGCTGGGCGATTATCTGCAGATGCAATTAGTGTGGACAAATATTTACACTTCACTTCATGAATCGCCACAAGGTAGGCCTTAGTGGCAGCTCTTACCCATGTTCGATCAAGTTCATCTCCTATCTTCTGCCAGTGGTGCTCTAGACGTCTCCTCATGCGTTTCATCCCTCTCAGTTCCTCTGTATACCACGGGGACCAGAGAGGTCTACGGGTTAGGAGAAGTCGCAAGAGTACAACTCTATCTCTTTCCTATTCCAAACAGTGACTAAGAGCTCGGCTGGACCGCATAAGAGATCTGCAGTTACAATCCCCAGCTCCTTCTGGATCCCATCTGGGTCCATTAGTCAATGAGGGTGGACCAATCTAATAGATCCTGCCTCCCTGTGGGGGGAATGCAGCTTTTGAGAAACTCATTGCCACCAGACTATGATCTGACCATGACAAGGGGACCAAGGACAAGTCTACCAATTCCAGCTCTGACAAAAACACCAAATCGGGAGTGTGACCACTATTACTAGTTGGGCTCTGGATAATCTGGAACAGGCCCATGGAAGTCTTGGTTTCTATGAAATCTCTGACCCGACCCCAGAGAAGGCAGGTTGAAATTCCCTAGAACTATAAGTCTGGGTAATTCCCCCGCCAGCCCTGAGGTGAGGTCCAGGAGCCCAAGTAGGAAAGCTGCCACACAGCAGGAAGGTTGGCATAGCAGCAGCAATCCCACCTAATCCCTTGAGCCCAATCTAAGAAAAAGAGTCTCACAGCCAGGGACTTGCTGAACAGTGCCTCTGGAGGCTACTAGAGATTCTCTGATAACAACAGCCACACCTCCTCCCTGATCCTGAGGTCTAGACTGGTGCCATGCTCAATAACCCACTGGGCACATTTCTACAAGAGGAACGCCTCCCTCTGGGCCCAGCCAGGGCTCAGTTATGCAAACCAGATCAGCCTTCTCTTCGAGGATCAAATTGGTAATAAGGCTAGCCTTATTGCAAGATGATCTCACATTTAAAAGCAGCAGTCTAAGACCAGGGCCACCACAGATCTGTTGACCAGGAAAATGAGATAAGTGCAATGGGGCAGAATACGAGATCGGTACTAAACACCGAGGTTGCATTTCCTGTGCTTGACCTCTCCCTTGTCTCCCATATCTCCTGTTACCCGATACTTGTTCTACTTCTATTTGCAGATCTGTGTTTGTGATTTTCTCCAGTTGTCTTCTATTCTGCTATCTCCAGATATTGCCGCGTCCAGTATCCAGACTTTTCAACAATTATTAACTATGGGGTATTTTTCGGCTGGTGCTTGTTTGTTTGAATTCTAAAATCCTAGAGCACTTTAGCTTCTTCATTTTCTAAAAATACTTTGTCTTTTTTGTAGAAACCTAAATTCTTTCTTGTATGCAAATGGTATTCAAGTGTATCATTGTTGCTACTTTGTCATGGCATTACTTGTAATCAGTCTGTGCAATCTTCTTGCAGCAACTAACTAGGTCAGGGGTGTCAAACCCGATCGCATTGCAGACCATAACATGACGTACCAGGATGGTTTTTTGCCTTTGTGGAGCTGGGGTGGGCATGGCCTGTGCGGGATGTATCCAGCTCCCGGGCTCCCAGTTTGACAGGCCTGAATTAGGTGGTTCACTGTTTTTTCAGCTTCTTTGAAGAAGCAGTGTTTACTGTCTGCTACTATCAATTCTGGATTTATATGTATTTGTTCTTAAGGTTGGTCTTGGGCATCCAGAATTAGCCCATCTGTCTCTTTCCTCAATTTTCCTATTCTTACTCCAGGTCTTATCTCATTTGCTTGTTTTTTTTTAAATGTACAACCTATGTAATACTTTGCCTTACTGTGTCTCTTTTATATTCTACATTTGAGCTTTCTCACAGGATAGTTCGATCAATAAAGTTTATGGTATACCAGCTTTGGTGTATCTTATTCTGTAGCCTCAAGTTATTCTTTTAGTGCCTTTTTTTCTTATTCAACTGCCTGCTGTATTTCCATGCACAGCTTTTTTCTTTGTTAAGTAGAATATGTTAATATTGATATTTGGATGAAGAACAAGATTCATTGTTTTTCTAGTATTCTTATTCAGGGCTTTTAGTTTTGCTTAAATCCAGTC